TCACTTTTCCTCCTCTTCCCGCTCCTCCACCCCTTCTCCCAACAAATAATGGGACAACCCTCTTCGTTCTTTCCCGGACCATACGATCGCTCGCATAACGACTGGCCCGCCCGTCGAATCGATCGAAAGCCCCGATCCTGATCTGATTGAATCGGGGAAATTTGCGATTACAGCGCGAACGTATTGCAGCAGCTGGCTTTGAGAGAGATAGAGACGCGTGTTTTTTTTTTTATCCTGAACTCGAACTCGGTGTGCGCTCGGTTGTTCCCCGGACGGCAAACGCGAACGTGCCCCGGCCGCTTGTCGATCGATCGGCGACAAATAATCCTCGTCTCGAGCGGCGCGATCAACGATCAAACGGCCGCGGAGGGCGATGGGCTCGCGCGTTGCTCGTCACCGGCGGGGAGTTATCTTGGTTTTTAGGCTGCGCGGCGGCCGCGGCGACCGCCGGACGACTCTCGCGACTCTCACGAGAGAGAATCTCTTCAGGCCGCCGATTAAGCCCCGCGGTGTTACTAACTACCTACTGTATATTACACGGTGTCCCGTACCGCGCCGCGACGACCCCGTCGCGGCGGGAGCTTTGACTAAGTAAATATATATTGACATTTAACATCGCGCGAGAGAGAGAGAGAGAGAGATACATAATTATATACTTTGTAACGTTCGGTGTTCGTCAGTCGGTCGTCCGGGCCGAAGCGACGGATGGACGGCGGGATCGCCGGATCGTACGCCGTTTTTGGTGCAAAGGAAAGAGAGAACGTGTAATCTCGAACCGGTCGGTCGCTTCGTACGGGACGACGAGGTGTGTATGCTGTACGTTCGTAATTATATGAAATAAACCTGAGGTATCTTTAAGTCTGTAAAGCTTTCGTTACGAATGTTTGAAACTCCTTGCCCGTCGTTTTTTTCCCACCCTCCCTTACTCGCGTCGTCGAGCTCCCTCTTCTTCCTCCCCCCCCCTCCTCCCACGCCCTTCATCCCGCTCGCGGAGGAGTGGGCTCGGTTCGTTTCCCGCTTGTTGTTCACGCGATAAGCTAAGGGTAGAATTAGAGAACATTTGGCATACGTAATGGCACAGTATAATAAACTTGTACTTGCTTATACATTCGCGAAGTGCCATTCCCGCGCGGGAATTAGGTGTATATGTCCGCCAAAATTCTCTTCAACGCGACAGTCGACACTCTCCTCTGTCGAGTGACACACACGATCCTAGCACGCGATCCGTCGTTTCGTGTCATCGTGCAGAGTGGGATCAACAATAAATCATATACTGAATTTCTGAGAGACCATCGGAAATTTATTGCTGCGTGTGTTCGTGTGTTTGTGTTTCGTGTTTGGGACGACCAGACACGAGATATTCGCGTAGCGAATTCGCATCGCGCCGTGTTAACGGAGTCGGAAGCTTAAAACGATCGGTTTATAGGGGCTGGATTATTACTACCGCGAAATTATTTATCGTTTCGCCGTTTTAATTGATCGAACCTCGTTTCAACGCTTTTTCCTTAAAGTTCGCCCGATGTGCACTGCAGTACACTCAGCGTCATGTATGGTCTTTGCGTCGAACGAATCGTATTTAGATATTCGTGCGTCACGACTGTTATGTTCTTTTGTTTTTTTTTTAATGTCGAAATGCATACATCAGTCAGCTATAAAACACACCTCTCTATCGCGATGCAATTGATGTGTTCAGCTCGAAAATATCCAATGTCAGACGCGAAGCCATACGTGTCGCCAAGCGTTCGAAGACACGAATGAAAAGATAAACCCGAGAAATGCCGAAATTTAAATATAAATAAGGATTAGACATCTCAAAAAGTATTCCACTAAAAATATCGTATACAGAACGTATAAAGTTCTTAAAAAATGATATTTTAAATACTTCACGATGAGAGCCTTGTAAGATTTTAAAAATAATTTCTCCTCGGTATTAAAAAGTTTCAATGTTACCGCCGCACTGTTTAATGTCATATGTACAGATTGCATAGAATAAAATTACGGCATAAAAGTCACATTAATAATTAAGTGATAGTATCACTCTTCAGCAGTTTCCGTTTGCGTATTGTCCTCGGTAAATTGTGCCTATACAATCGAGCGTAACAATTTTGATAGCAGTAAGGAACCTACATGGACGGCAATTACTTTCTATGCTATCTGCAATTGTATGCTGTTCTATGCTGCAAGTATACTTTATAACGATCCTCTACGTGATTATATGAACACGATGTAAAAAATTGACTTGATAATCAAGGTCTCAACAGCACCTTAAACTTTCGCATGAACACTGTGATTATCATTTGCGAGTGCTGGTTTCATAAATTCATAAAATGCGACAAGTTTTCGATAAACAAATACAATCAGCCATTATAGTCTCTTGACATACGAGCTGTTCGCCATTAAATTTTTTTTGGGAAGAAACGAATCTTTTCTGTGCGACGACAACATTGCGTTAAATAGCAATCGTTACCATTAGCAATTAAGAAACAAAAAAACCCGCGATTTTTCTTTAAAAAGTACGATGACGTTGGTAAAAAGTCGGGAAATACTGACAACGCGATCACGCCTTATGGTTTTGAACACAAAGGTAATCCGTTACCTTTTTACGAGAATTATCGATCTCTTTTTCCGAGTTATACTCTCGAATCATTGAGTTTAAATTAGCGCAATTCGTCAACAGAATTGACACTTATTATGCTAATAAAATCTAAACCCCGTGTCGTGATTATTAATAAACAACAGTAATATACTAATTCTTAATACATTAAGTTCAATAATTATAAAAAAAAAACGAGGGGCTATACAAGATAATAACACGTAATATACAAGACATAATATACAAGGATATAATTATATTAAATATACAAGATAATTATACTAACGTACGAACAACGATCGGGAAATTGGAAGAAACTTTCATTGGCGAGTGTCGCTTTTTAACATCTCGCCGATTTTCTTCCGTCAAAATTCATACGAAATACTTTTGTCATTTGTTGCATTAAAATCTTAATGTCTCCTGATCGCTCATGGCAGTCGTATTGGATTACATTAAAAATGAAAAATTATAAATCATAATTTTTTTCTTGCATCATCTTGCGTCGAAATTTTGACAATTGTGTATATTGAGATTGATAGAGTATATAACAAATATAGTAAGAAGTGAAAAATGTTAAAAATAGCGCGCGCAAAGCGTAATGCATAGTTAAAATAAATTTGTATAGTTAAAATAAATTTGTAAATAACATATATATTAATAACTATATATAAATATGTACAAATACACGTACAAAAAATAAGTATATAATATATTTATAAATTTATTTTACAGAATATGATTTATGTCTAAAAAAATATTTTGGCGTATACGAGAAAACGCGTTTGCATGATCGGTTAGAAATAATAATCGAATATTTTATTTTATTTCTAACATAATTCAGTCGACTGTGATGAAAGATCAGGAGTCATTAATGTTGAATCCTCTTAGGACATAGCGCTTACTCGCAAAGTTTGTTTCATCAAGTTCCGTCAATATATAAAATTTGCAAGAGTCCATTCTCGTTATCGCTACATTAGAAAAATTATCGAGATCAAATGTATTTCGAAATAAATCGATTCGAGTGGATAAATCGTCCCGCGAATGATCCGAAGCGAGAAAGGAGTATAAGAAATGACTGTAAAATTAGACTATATACAAATGTGATGTCATCATTCCTCGCGCTCGCGATGTACATGTATGTATAATAAGTGTACATGTGTGTTTAATGAGTGCGCGTGTGTGTGATCCGGAGCGAAATCTTCATTAAATGTTAGATCGATCGATTCAACTGCGTAGCCCTACCCCAATACGCGCGTGCAGCTCATTTTGTTGGCGAACACGGTCTTAGGTCGTCAGAAGGCTAACAAGGCTAAGTCCGGTATACGGCGACGCAATGCCGTGCAACATATAGTGCCTCTTTAACGCGCGAGAGAGAGGCTTGAACAACAATTTTTTTGAATTATTTATCTGGCAGTATAATTGGTGTATAAAATTTTGGTTTCTTCTTTTTTTTTTTTATTCAATCTTTCCTTCTCTCATTTCTTCACACGCCTTTGCGCTCTCCTGCTCGATTCGCGGCAGATCCAATAAATTTAGATACAATATCACAATTAGCAGCTCTGTTCCACGCGAGACTTACCAATCTTGCTTGTCTGCGTTCGTTTAGCATTTTGAACATCGGTCAGACCGAACATCGATTCCGCCGGTCTTTCCTTCGTCCGTTAGATTCGATATATATCGCTCGTTCCCCAGGGATCGGCCGAATGGCGTTCCTGGGGCTCGATCTAACGCCTTTCGTTCCATCATTACCGAGAGCACGTTAACGTTTCGTGCTCTTGGCGGAAGAAGGAAGATCTATTGCAATGACCTAAGAGAGACGGTTCGGGAATCAGCACTTCGAAGGACATGCATGCTCGCTTCGAGTGCGAGTGCGCTATCGCATTCGTACCGAACCAAAAGGTTCTCTTTGTCGGGCGAGTCTCAGGGAGCGAGAGTGTGCAACGGTCTGAGGTCGCGCCTCTCCTCGCTCCGCACGCCAATTATTCGCTATCTATTAATCGAAAAGTCCCTCGTTTTACGGCTAAGGGACCCGGTCGGAGTTTGCCAAGTGCAAAACACGAACGGGCGGAAATCGTTCGGATAAATCCTTAACATCGTTAACTTCCTCTATATGAGCACTAGAAAGATGTTGTTACATCATGCACGAATATCGACTCTACAGAGCTATCCGTTAACGGATTAATTCTCGATTGATGTTTCTCCTCGAATACTCGTGCATGAACCGTCTTGACGACGGGAGACATAGAGAAGAGGAAGAGATGCTGCTTTTTTTACGAGCTTTACGAGCTTCGCATTTTACGTTTTCATGAGAAGTCCCGCGGCATACGCTGTGAAGTAGCTCGTAGGAGTGACACACATTTTCGCTACAACCGGCGATAATTGGCGGTTTCGCGTCTCGCGCTCCGAATGCGGGAGCTTATGTTTTTTTTTTTTCTCGACGCCGTATCTTCGACGATGATTGGCATTTGGCAGTTGGTGTTAACGTTCAACGTAGCATTGGCAAACTCTGGGGTCGACTTGACAAGGGTTTCCGCCCACGGACGTACGAACGGGGCGGACGCTTGGCCTATTCGCTGCAGAAACGGGTGCAGGCTTTCTTCCACCTGCACTGAGTGCACCAGAGGTCGCGTGAATCCATACCGTAGATCTTGCGACATTTCTTAACATCGCTGCGAGTTCGCCGCGGGGAGGACGGCTTGCCCGTGGACGCTGTCATGTTCTGTTGATGACACGCCTGCAATGGCCGTGGGGACAGTTTGATGTGTTTATTGGGCGTACCCTAAAACGAAATGGAGGGCAAGTTTAGTCGGAATGTATTTTTCACCGGCACCGGCGCGGGTGGTTTACAGCCTGAACGCGCGATTACCTACCGGCGATTGCGAGATCGTAAACGCGTTGCTCGGTTCCCTCACACCGACCATTACGTTCTCGATGTAGTTACTCGCGGCAGGAGTCGCCTCAAGACGAAGCTGCTTCTGATACTCCGGATCCTCGTGCGGCGGTCTTGCCATGTCCCGGTGAGACATCGTGGGGGGTGAGCTCATGTGATCCATAGCAACTTCCTGATAATAGAACTCCTCCTCGTGAACGGACATATCGTCCTCGCTGTCGCATCCCTTGGACTTCTTTGGACTGTAAAAGAAAAATGATTTCAATTTGCTTGCAATCTTTTGTTTTCTTATCTTCTGATCGAGCAACAAAATTTCAAGGCTGTTTTTTTTTCTCGCAGTAAAATATTTTATTTCGTTACTTTCTGATATTCAGTTCATTTTTCTCCTCTCCCTCTCTCGCTCTTCAAATCAACTTCTCTATCATTTTAATTATTATATTTATTGTTACTTCTTATAATAATAATATTTATCTTTATTATATTTTATTATAATTTATTATTTTTTACCACATTTTTATGTATTTTTCTCTACATATAATTATCTTCAGGATTTATGTATTTATTAAAAAACATTATGCGAGTCGTGAAAATGTGCGCAAAACATATGTATACGTATCTATACATATATTTGAATAAAAATATGCGCACAATATTAGACTAAGCGTTACTGTTATCTTATTAGAACCAAGCCAATGAGTTTATTAATACTTATTTTTGATATATCAATTATCTATATCGGTTATCTGTGTTTCTACTATTAATTTTATTTGATTAGTTTTATTAATACGAGTAATATTCTTTTCCTCAAAATTTGTGTGTTTAAAAAATTTTATTTCATACATATAGATAATTCTGTACAACTCTAATGTGCAGTAAAACTTCAGTAACATAAAGATTAATCTTATGAATCATGTTATTGCTAATATCTCGCCCGTTGACATGCAATTTTTTATTACATCTGTTTTTTATATGTGTATTCAATAAAATTGTTATTGTTGGTATTATATTTGATTAATCCATTTATAGATGAGAAAAATAGTCGACGGAGAAAGATTTACTGTCGCGTCGCGAGAAGAGAGGAGAACCGTGGAAATTATTGACGTGACTCAATTTATACAAATATTATGCTGACCTTACGGAATAGGTACGATCATTTTGTTCCAACAACCCCCGATATCGAAATGATGCGTTACGAGCCAGGCGGCAGTTAATTTTACGCTCTCGAGAGAGAGTTGCACACTCGAGGGTATACACACAGTGCTGACGTTACTACAACGGCACCGATTGTCAGCGCTTCGACCCATGGAAAATATTTAATGTCAACAGCTCTTTTCTCGGCTGCCAGGACCAGCTTGACCTCTCGCGCTCGCGTGTTTCCGCCTCGGTCTCGCTAAGCGTCTTACGCTCATGTGCGAGACACGCGGTGTATTACATCCAGGGTATTCACTTACCCCAGATGTGACTGGCGTACATGTTCCTCGATAAGCGCGACGGTAACTTTGATTTCCATGCAACCCGGCCAAGTGCATTTGAAGACCACTGCCGCATTCGCCTGAAAACAGAAAGATGATAGCCGATTAATGATCGTTGACGCGAGAGCGGTGTGTATTACGTGATGATAGACCCGATGGGAACAGGACTTCGCATGTCCGGGGAGAACTTCACGAAAGGGAAAAGGGTAGGAAATGGACAGCTATGATTTATTACGGCAAACATACTGTCCTGCATTGTCCGATACTAATGAACTAATCGGCACACCGTGATGCAATTCGCATAGTTTTACGCTGACAGCAAAATTGCTTTAACCATCGAGCTGAATAGACAGTTTACAGCCATCGATTGAAATGCCATGTCCGGTGACTTTTTTAGAATAATCCATTTTTATCCCAAAAATAAATTACTATTATTCTCTTTTATGTTATATTATTTTATCTTCTCTTTTACATTATTATTATTCTTTTATTTTGTATTATTTTCGTTTTATTAAAATCACAAGTTCTAATATTTTTCATTAATACTTTAATAGATGAAATCCATTTATTTTCGCGTTTGTTTATACTTTATTAAAAGAAACTTTTTACTGTTTATTTAACATCAATATGCTGTAAAGTTTCAAAAAGCTCCGGTATCAACAGCCTTCGTATTTATTTACTTCAATTTACTTTAATTTGTATATATTTCAATTATCATCAAACGGGAGCTGTCTTACACGATGATCGTAGGTGAGACGTCGCGTCGCTAATCTGTAAGAGTCCGAGAGTCTTAAGACGGCACCCTGTGTGTGCTGTCGGAGTCACGCCAAGCCAAGCCAAGCCGCCGAATAGGAAAATCGATGCCGCGCGCGGCAGCCAGCGGCAGCCGCGCCGCGCGCACGTTTCTTTGTTTACATCGGCCGGCCGGCGCGGCGGAGGCGCCCGCGTTGCGCCGCGCCGCGCCGGTCACGACGATACGGTCACGTGGTATTGATCGCGAGGAGAGCGAGGAATACAAGCCCACGCGGTCCGCGATGATCGCGTGTTTGAGCGCGAAGGACGGCGCGGCGACGCGACGCGACGCGCGACCGGCATCTCTCGCGAGCGGAGAGTCAGGTCCCCCCCCCGCGCGCGAACGCGTACCCTCACCTGCGTGTAATCGTCTTCTACCTGAGTGACGATTACCGCGAGCGTCATCCGGATCCTCTCTTATCCCCCCGGGTGCGCGTCCAACGCGGATAGAATGACAATTGTACCCCGCTCGAGAGTCCACTCAAGAGGGGATTCGGAGTACATTTACAAGCGCGGATTAGTCTTAGCTTTTAATCATTTGATCGTATTTTTAGTATATAGCTGCAACGCGAGACGCGCTGCCTTAAAACGGACGTCGATGCTTTATTAACGAAGACACGAAAGTGTTGCCTTTCTACGTTTATTTCTGGCAAGACACGCCGAAAATCGATCTCGTCGGTTTTTGTTACATCGGTATTTGGGCTTGTGAGTTTACGGATTTAGGGGATGTCGATACAACCGTGATAAGCACCATGGCTAATCATTCGCTATAACGGTCTCACGTCTCATTCCGGCTGGCACACACGCGACTCGAACGCTTTCCAACGTAACGGTCTGAACCAAGAAGACAATCATGAGCTCGTTAACGCGCCGTAGTGAAGGACGCCCCTTCAAAAGCATTCCGGATTAATAAGCCGTCGGACTACGGCGAAAATAATTCCTTTAAGTACGCATTCGCGCGATAGCACGTCGCCGGGCCATACGGTCTAGCTAATGAGCGCATGAATATTTACGAGTGACTTTAACGACTGCACTTAAGACACGATCTCGGAAATCGCGCCGCGCCGCGCCGTCGTCGATCGCTTCCCTCAATTTTGCGTGGCTCGGCTCTACTATGCGCCATTAACGTTCTTTCGATTCTCACGCGGCATACCGGGTGATGCGGTGGTTGACGACAGCGACGCAAAGGGAGAGCGAGAGCGAGAGAGAGAGATAGAGAGACGAACCAATATCGATAAGCATTCGCGGGCGTATCGGCTGAAAGACGCGCGCGTGATAAGCGAGATCGCGTCGTTCGGTGGCGAGCGGTGGCTCCCGCTTCGGCGGGCCTTAAGGGCTTCGGCTATAGTGCAGTGACATCAGCTCCGAAACGGTACACCGGGGAGATACACCGGTGTGCGTCGCGCGGTATACCGGGTGGCGGGTGGCGAAAGGCCGGCGACCGCGGGAGCCTCCGCGATAGCGCGCGACCGCCAAGGCGCGTTCGCAGGCGCGCTTCTGACTGAAAGAGAGACGCGATCCGGCGCGGACGAGGAAGGTGCCGTTTCGGAAAAGAGTTTCGAAGTTTCGAAGCGATTTCGAGGACGGATCTCCCGGTGGACGTATATACGTGACATCATCTCTGGAAACGGTACAACGCCGGGTACACACGCCAGAACGGCGTACGCCGCGGCTCAGCCATTGCCGAGGTCACAGACCTTCTATGCCTGGTCGGCAGGCAACGCTCTCCCTTTGCCTTGCCTTGCCCATGCCTCTCGGCGTTGGTTTGGCGTGCTCCGGAGAACTTCGCAGCAGTTCTTCTCTCCACTGCTCCTTCCCCTTTCCCTCCTCTACGACCTTTAAGATACGACGCGGTAATACCGATGGCATTAGTCTAGAGGGCACCACGCAGCCCGGTGAGCATCTTCGGCGTGTTTGATAGCGGCCACTGGATCGGCACCGGATCTACTCTCACGGATGCTCTATCCTCCGCAAGAGACAATGTACAAAGTACAAAAATATATATATTCTTTTTAAGATCGTAAAGCGTCTGTATAATCGTCGGACTGCAACCACGATTATTGAAGAAATCGTAGACAAAATCAATATTACCTATCAATTTGTGCGATTACAGCCGCGATTTATCATTTTCACGCATGTATTGTCTGTCCTGTATACAGGGTGTTCGGTAATAAAGTATTCGAAACACAATGGTATTTTTTAAGGGCGAAAAAATAAAAGGTTTCGGTTGAAAAAGCACGATCAAGATTACATCGTCAAACGCGCTTATTATCGAACCCGCACGGGGGCACGTCGCGTCGTAGTAACACGCGTTGTGCGTGACGCGTAATGGAGACAGCGTGCTATCGCAAAATTCGATCGGGGGGAGAGGGCGGCCCCGGTCGAACGTCCGAGGAGGCAGTCACGTCCGAGAAGAAAATCGGCGTACTCCCGACTCCCGGCGGTGTTATCCTCTTCCCCGCGGCGGCGCGCGGCGGCGGTGACGTAGATCTCGCGAAGCCATCTCCCGCGCGTTCGCGTGCGCGCGCGAATATCATCGCGCGCTCTCCTCCGTGCAGCACACGCGGGGATGAGTAAGCCGAACCGCGCGGGGTTGCCGCGACGAGAGAGACGGCCGCGCGCGGTGCGGCGCGGAACGGCGCGGCGCGGTGCGGCGTTTCGTGGGCGCATCGCGTGCGATACGACGTTGCCGGCGATAGAGATAGCCGCGGCCCGTTGGGGATGCACACGCATCGCATCGTCTTGCCGGTCGGAGCGCGCGCACCGGGCGGGCATCCACCCCTACCCAACGTAGTACCGCGCGTCTCCTCTCCCCCTGCGCACTCTCTCCCACTACTTTCTGCGTACTGCGCAACGGCACGCGCGCGCGCGAGCGCTTGCTTGCTTGCTTGCTTGCTTGCTCGCTCGCTCGCTCGCTCGTTCGCTCGCTCGCGAATTCGTTTACGTGTATATGCACACACACACACGCGCGCGCGCGCTCGCTCGCTCGCTCGCTCGCCTGTCTTCATGCGTGAGGATCCGGAGAGGAGCGTTGTACAAAAATTACGCACGTGTTATCCCGGCGAGACGTGTTGTTCCTGCGTCGTCGTAGTTTCCACAAGTCTTTGATAAGCGACGCGTGAAAAATCGTTGTTAAATCGTTTCAAAAAAGAGAGACGCGACCGATGAAACGGACTACCCGTGATTCGCCCCGCAGGAATGCGCTGGAAGTCAACGCCCCGAAGTTCGTTAGAGTGAATGGATCTCTCGACTCGCTCGTGCGTGCGCGGTTCTTCCGAGCGAAAGAACTACGCTCGCAATTCCATTTTCGTATGTTCGATTGTATTGATGATTAATCACAATTCGCGACAACTATACACGGCCGCCGAGCCGTGCGGCGCGGCGCGCAAAGAACGCCGATTTACCAAGGCCGTTCTTGCACGCGGTTCATCGCGCAGGTTGCAGGCTCGCCGGTAGCGTGTTGTGTACGTTGTTTCACGAATCGAACGTTACGCGTATATACGCGGCCGACGCTGCCGCCAAGCGCGGACGCAAAAATCGATTCCAAACTACACGCTACGACAGCCCGCTTTCCACGCGGCCTCCCGCTTTCTCCGCACTAGTCGACTCGCGTCGAGCCGCCGACGGCTATTGCACAAACGTTGCGCGCCGTACAGGGCTATATTTTCCTACGTCCTACTACCTTTCCCACGACTAACTGAGATTTTCGCATGCGAAACCGTTTTCTTCTGTTGCATCGCGGCGGATGTATCTCGCCAACCCGGACGTATATCAATCCGGTTTGTTTAACGTAGAAACGTCGCCGAGTACTGCTATTTAAACAAAAAAAAGTATCTGTATCATCTGCATTCTTCCTGCCTGACGCTATTTAAAATATAAATATCGCGATGTCAGTTTGGAACGTACTGCGGATCGTGTGCGGATCTTTATTTTTATCTTATTTATAGAAAAAATATTTTTGTATCCAATACAAGCTTCCAGGGGCCGCCGGTGTTGCATTGTCAGTAAATAACGATACTCTGGATGTACCGTTCCGTGTACACATTCTGACGTCACACTGCCGGCTGCCGACTCTCAATCCCCATTTTGGGACCACGCCGCGTCGTTCCACGCGGCGATGGGTTTCACGGACATAGGGATATATCGCGCGGTGCGAGAGAGGAAGGAAGGAGAGAGAGAAAGAGAGTGCAAGAGAAAGAGAGAACGCGCGAATACACGGGAATAGGCGAATAAGGAAGGAGAGAAAGAAGGGAAACAGAGAGAGAAAGAGAGAGAGAGAGAGAGAGAA